CATAAGGCTTGAACCCACAATCTTCTGACTCAGAGGAAAGTGCTATCAATTGAGCCAGGCTGAGACCAATTAAGATGGAAAGAGATGCAGTCATAGAAAAAGGTCTTGGATAGAGGAGCGTGAACATGTGCAAATGAAACTCAAGGAATTGCTATGGAAACAGCATTTAGCAACGACAGAGAACTATGTAGTGAACGTAAGTGAAGTCATGTGCTTTTGTGTTTACTGAGACTGAGGTGAGAAGCTAGATTGTGTGTTAGACAGCTGAAAATAAGCCTGTTGTATTTGTACATATCGGAATAAATACAACAGTCAAAAGGTCCTGAAAAGGAAATATATGGACATGGTTATGAAGTTGCAGGACAAAAGCGTGAAGTTCATGCTATTTGGTTGTTTCCTGTGCTCTTTGATAACTTCATGCTGACGAGGATAATTTCTTGTTTGAGAGTCTATGCAGATCAAAATGAAGTGTGCTTAAAGACCAAATCAACATGAACTGCTAAGCATCTAACCTCTGGTTTTTAAGTTAAGTAGATGTTAAGTTCTGAATGGGGGATAAAAGACGATGTAAGATGGAGAAGCACCACAAGGTCAAGTGACAAAATGTAATGTGAAGCAGAGTATTTATGCTTTTAATAAACAATGAATTGACAGGAATCATAAGTTAGATAAAGCAAAATATTTTTGAATCAACGAGTGTAAGAAAGATCTAATTGATTTAACAGAGAGCTGGATCCACTTTTACGAAGCTCAGTGTAACAGGTTTAGAAGGGGTTGTATTGCTATTGATGGGTTAGGGGAATTGTCTGAAGAAAAGATTCAGCTTTGGATGACAAAAGATCTGAATCAGCTTAGACACAGGATACAAAGGATAGGACATTAATAATTGGAAATGGTTATAAAATCACCAGGACAAGAGGTCATTTTCCTGAAATTATTTGACCACACAAAACGCAGAAGATTTTAATGATCCTAGTGGAATGGGGAAAGGGATGTTGCAAGGGCTAGTTCAGGCGTTTTGGCACAGCATTTTATTGGTGACTAATAAGGAGCTCACACTTGATTTATTATCTTGCGACAGCCTGATAGCAGGATTATGAATAACAGAAGCCTTTAAGATTAATGACCAAATGCCATTAGATTTGATACTGTAATATGGAGGAAAAAATCAACAGATAATTAAATATTGAAAATCATGGAAAATTACAGGATAGGAATTTACAGGAGATGGAAAGCTAAATGCAGGTTCTTTTTAAAAAAATTTAAATACTGCAATATCGTTCCCAAATTTTATAGCGATATGTAGCAGAATGGGCAGCTCGATTTACTGTGTTCAATATTACTTAGTGGCCTTTACAAAATGGATTTGGTGCTCTGTGTATACGCGTATTGAGCAGAACTGAAATCAGGTTAGTTTTTCAGTGTTATTGTTAGAACCAGTTGCACGGCCAACTCGTTCAGATTTCATAATTGTTCCTGACAGATGTTAGGATGGCTATTGTGGAAGGATGAGATCAGAGAGACCAAAAGGTCGACTTCAGCTGAGCCCTTCTGACCTATGGGTTTGAAATGTTGTGGGACTGGGAAACCAGTCAATGAGGGGTCAGATTTTTCCCACTTGGAGCTTGTTAACTCTGCAAGCCAAAACCCTAACAGGTATTGTGATCTTAGCTGGTAAGTAGCACAAAGCTCAAAGTATTCACAATGACAAGCTGAGTGGATTTAGATGCTTACACTCCTGCAGGAACACAATGTGCACTTGAGGAGTCCCCAACCCAAGACTTTTGTCAACCTTGTCCTATATTTTGGGGGATTAGGTAAACAGGATACATTCTTTAGGGGAGAGTGTGCACTCAGTGCCAAACAAATAGAAACCATGCAAACATATAACTCTCAGTTGTGTGATTTAGACTTACACCTCAGGTAAAACGTTAGGTATAAACACACTCGATGTGCAAAATTGGTCATTCACTTCAGATCTGTTTGTGGGACATTGGCTGCTCTGCTGCATTCGCCCACAAAGTACAATACTACTACTTGCATTTGATGTAGCGCCTTATCACTTCTAAAAGCGCTTCACAGAACATACTGTAAAGTGATTTGATTAATATTTTGTGGGCAGAACACAGCAGCCAATTGCACACAGCAGTCACTACACTTTACAGAACATTTGTGAGGCACTTTGAGACATTCAACATTATATCAAAATGCAAGGCTTATAATCCTAAAGTTACATTGGATAAAGTGCTAAATTGAATATATGATGTGAAGTAGGAGTTTATTAGGCAAAGAATTAAAGAGCAAGCTGACCCCTGGAAGACAAAAGATACAGTGGAGACAATAGCAAATTGTCTGTTGAAAATGCAGGTATTTCCTTTTTTGGGACTAGGCGATGCTGGTCCAGAAAGAAATTAGTAATGGTTAAAAACCTAGAGAACGTGAAAATTCCTAATAAAACAGGAGCATGTGGCACCGATCCAAGAGTACTGAATGGAGTGAGGATAGAAGTAGAGGGAGCTGCGGTTGAATTATTTTTACAGGTCATTAACTAGGTGCAGAGTACCAGAAGATTGGAAAGTTGTTCATGTTGTTCCAATTCTCAATTAAGATCAGACCCATGATCCTGGAAATTGGTTTAAACTCCAGTAGAAAACATTGTAGCCTATTGTAAAGGAAGCAATTGAAGCACACTTAACAGGAATAAAGGAAACGCCTTCAGGACAGCATGGGTTTATGAAAGTCATGCTTAATAAATTTATTGGAATTATTTGAGGATGTAAAAGTGGATGATGCCAATATATTAGACATTTTATATCTTAATTTTCACATTATACTGTGGACAAAGTGAAGCTCTTGGGATAAAGGAGTAAGTTGTAACCTACGTTTATCCTTGGGAGAACATCTCAACGCACTTTACAGTGCTGCATAGGCCCCCAATCTGTGGGTGGGAGCCAAAGGGCACTGGGGAGGGGAAAGATGACTGGAAGCACGGTCAAAGAGGTACATTTTGAAATCTGCCTTGATGGAGGGAATTGGCGGGCCAAAATGAGGACAAAAAGGATGAAAGCCCACCTGTTGATGGTGGGGCAGATTATGCAGGGGTCGTGAAGCAGGCTCACTGAGTGAAAGGAACAGCCAGGTCGGTAAGGTTTGAGGAGGATGCAGAGGTAGGGTGAGAGGTAGTATTTGAATGTGAGAACAAGGATCTTGAATTGAATCCTCTGGGGATGGGGAGACAGTGGAGCTGAATGAGGATGGGGGTGATGGGAGCCTGGAGCGAGAAAGAACACAGGCTGCATAGTTCTGGATAGTCTGCAACTTGTGTAGGAAGAACTGGGGGGTATTCAGTGAGCAGAGCATTGGTGCAGTCAAGTCTGGATGTGCTAAAAATGTGGATGAGGATCTTGGCGACGTTCAATTGAAGGAAGTTAGAGCTCATCCAGGATTTGATGATTATAATAGGAACCAGGGGGGTCATGGTCTTTGGCAGGATTTCCAATTGGACAGCTCTGAACGATGATCTGTCCTGGACCTCTGCTGTTAATCTTGAGCAAGGAATCTTACACAGAGATTCATTTTTGAGGGAAAGCCATGTGCTTCTGGATGAAGGATAATGTTCAGAGATGTTTCTATGATTCGTAACTATTTGGAAATGTAAGCCAAAGTAGCCTGGACACACTGATTTCTTTCTCATTTCATCTATTTTGTTAGTTGGTGTTTTAAGTACCCATAGAGATGTCATGTTGCTGAGGAAAAGGCAAGGATTCGATGTCTCATCTGAAGAATAGTACTTCTGACAAGGCAGCACTCCCCCATTACTGTACTGGAGTGTCAGTCTAGACAAAGCTCACATACTATTGGGCATGAATGCACAACCCTCTGATCCAGAGGTAAAAGTGCTACCAGTTGAGCCAAACTGACATCTCCGAGTGATGTGGAATGGGCAGACAATCTGCTTCCTACTCCACATCACAAAACTGACAGAATGGAAGTGGCTTTGCTGCCAGCAGCATAACTGTAGTATTAAATAAAGAAGGTACAAAGTTGACTAGAGTCAGAAACACCTTTGATTTACAATGTAAGTCATTTATTAGCATAGTCTGTAACTACAAATTTAATAGCAAAATATCTGTAACCACACATTTAATATTAGAGTTAGGGTTAGGGTATTTGTAACAGAAGAGCACATACAATTAAGCTGTTAAAAAAAACATTTTAAAGCACTGGTTTGATCTTCCAAAACATACAAATGAGTTAGCTTTATAATAATCCTTGCATTTGGCATCTCAAAGCGCTTCACCGAATATACTGTAAAGTGAATTGACAGTATATTTGTGGGCGAAATGCGGCAACCATGTCCCACAAGCGGTCGTGGATTGAATGACCAAATTATTATTTGATTTTTTATTTATTTTTCTTGAGGGATTATTATCAGGCATGTGGAGTAAGGAAACTTGCCCAAGGTTTCACCCGCCGGGAATCAAACCCAGGTCTTTCGCTTGCGATGTGAGTGCTGTAACCACTGAGCTACAACAACAACAACAACAAGATTCCATTTAAAAAGCGCCTTTCACGTCAGGAGGACATCCCAAGGCGCTGCACAGTTGGGTCATGACCCGAGCAGGGGGGAAATGGTCAGGGTGAGGGGAGGGAAGGGAGGGAGCGAGGAGGGGGGAAATGGTCAGGGTGAGGGGAGGGAAGGGAGGGAGCGAGAAGGGGGAAGAGAGTCGAGAGGAGAGCTGAAGGCACGGTCAAAGAGAAAGGTTTTGAGACCGGTCTTGAAGCTACAGGACTCCTTGCACTTTATGTATATAGATTAGAAGCTGTATTGTATTCAGCTCACATTAGTTTTTCTCTCTAGTACATTGGAAGCAGATTTGATAGGAGCTTTCAAAAGAGAATTGGATAGGTACTTGAAAAGGAAAAAAAATGCAGGGCTATGGGGTAAGATCAGGGGAGTGGGACTAGTTGGGTAGCTCTTTTCAAAGAGCCGGCACAGACATGATGGGCCAAATGGCCTCCTTCTGTGCTATAAGATTCTATGATGAGATTTCCACAGTCTTCAAAAGGCAAGTAGACAAATTCAGATCTGGTGTAAGGAGACGAATTGAGCCAGTTCACTCTAACTGATCTGAAGAGGAGAACTGAGTCAGGTCACTCTATCTGGTGTGAGGAGATGTGGAGGAGGTTTCCAGGGAATCTGGAAACAAGAAAAAAACAAATAATCAGATGTCCATTCGGCGTATCATTTCACCAATAATTTTACAAAAACTGGTGTGCAATCCCAACTTTTAAAGAGTAACAAACTGCAAACATGTCCCAAGGTAAAGATTGCAACAACAAACCACTAATTCCGCAAGGAATCAAACTGTTCCTGAAGCCACCACCTCCAGGATTGACAGCGCAATAAAGCCCCGTTTATTTAGGATGGAATCACTGTCATTTGCTACCGAATATGCAGGTACAAACATCATCTTTGCAGGAGACGCAGATATTTTATATACTGATATTTTGGTTACTTCAATATTTCAAATAAATTTAGGTGAACAGTTGTTTTAGTGTTCAGCACAGAAGAGGTCTGAAGAAACATTTAAACACTAGGCACCTAAAAGCAACAAACCTGGGCCTCCTCCACTCAAATCCTCAACTGAATGTTAGAATATTAGTTGGTTTAGAACAATAAGAATTTAATAGCTTTATCTGTGACGGTGTTCAACATTAGCAAGGTTATCCGGATAAGAATCGATTCTATTTTGTATTTTCTACGAATGTAACAAATAAAAATTAACTTTGGGAACCATTTTTTGTGTTCCTGAATAAGTTTAAAAGGGCCAAGTAGCTTAATACGATCCAAAGCTTGATGGATTCCAGTGCTACATCAGGTATTAATATTCACTGTTACGCCATTCCAAAATTTTTAACTTCTGAGGTGGTGGAAGCTGGGTCACAGAGGAATTAATTGGCACAAGTTTTGTTGACATTGAATGATATCACTAGTTCTACATTTCCAGATGCAACGTTCCTTTCCAGAAAGTTGTGTCAGCCTGGCTCAGTTGGAAGCTGTCTCACCTTTGAGTCAGAAGATTGTGGATTTGAGTTCCTTGTCAGGACTTTGAACTCATATAATCTGAGCAGACGCTCCAATGCAGTGCTGGGTTGTGCTGCATTGTTGGAGACGCCGTCCTTTGGATGAGATGTTAAACTAAGAGCCCACCTCTCCATTTAGTTAATGATAATAGTAATCCTTGCATTTGATATAGCGCCTTATCACGTCTTTGAGACATCTCAAAGCGCTTCACGGGATATACTGTAATGTGTAGTGACTGTGTATTGTGTGGGCAAAACACGGCAGCCAATTGCACACAGCAGTGTCCCACAAACAGCCGTGGATACAGTGACCAAATTAGTATTGTTATTTTTGAAGGGATTATTACCTCTGTCCACAAAATGCTCCCACAGTAATGGATGTGTGGGGTTAGGAGTGGGGAAGAAACTGAGGTAATCCGCTCAGTGAGAGAGAGACAAAGTGAAAAACAGGTGGATGTTAAATATCCCATGGCGCTATTCAAAAAGAGAAAAGAGGATCTCCTGGTGTCCTGGCCTACCATCTTCCAAATAAAATTGGTCATTCACTTAATGGCTGTTTGTGGGAGATTGCTGTTTGCAAATTGACTGCTTGGTTCGCCCACAAAAACACATTCACTACATTCTACAGTAAAATTTTGTAAAGCGCTTTGAGACGCCCTCCCAACATGAAAGGCACGGCACTGAATGTTAAGAATTATTATTATTAAGTCGGAGGATGTTGGAATGTTTATTTAAGTTGGAGGATATTAGAATGTTTATTTTGGGGAGAACTTCTCTGCAAATGCATAGGTGAAATTCCTATATTATCAGGGCTCCTCCATACCACAAGCTACTGGAGCTAAGATTCACAAACTACTGGAGCTAAGATTCACAAACTCATGAGAGATAGCAGACCCTTCAGCCCATTTGATCTAGTCCTTCCAGAATACGAGCCCAGCCATTATAGCATCAAGTTGTTCATTAAATCACGTCACTGCCTGATAACCCTTTGACTGTGGTCTCTCTCTCAAACTCACCGAACCAGTGCACAACTTGCCATTTGGTTTGATCCTTAGCCCTCTTTCCTTGCTCACATTTGATCTCGCACAAGACCCAAAAAGATGTCCCTATCACCACCAAAACCCTCACCTATAATTTCTTTAACTCCCTAGCAGCTTCCTATTCCTGTGATCTTCTATCCCGCTCTTCTGCTCGCCCACTCCTCTCAAACCACTGTCAGTGGTAAAGCCTTCAGGCCCCCAATCCCTTCTGGGAATCAGAATCCAGAGGATTTGGCAATGTGCCCCAGCATCTGGTTTGCTTTTTTTTATTGGCGCCTGACACTGTTTAGACCTGGTGAGTCATGAGCGAACTAACACCCCTTTCAACTTCTATAGATGGCTCCAAGGCCTTTTTCTAATGTTGAGATAAACTGATCACATGACAGGCTCTTCGATCAAACAATAATTATCTGATAAGCCGTGTACCAGTGCAACCTCAACATTTGATGGTTTTGTTTGTTCGGCTTTGACTGATTTAAAGCGATGTAGAAAGAAGAATAGGTGTATAAAGTATCTGCAGGCAGCTCCACATCACTGCACCGATGGGAACAGGGAAACTTAAAGCACATCAGCCAATTTCATATTGCACTAGAGAACTCCAAATCTGTATGAAATGGGACCAGTTCATTGTGGATATAAAAACAGTGCAAATAAATCGTCTCTGTATTAAGTATCTCGTTCTCTCTGCCTTTGTCTAATCCTCTGCATTTCTAACTGTCTGTGTGTTTGTTTCACTCACTAAATTTGTATCTCCCAAATCTTGTACTCCATTAAAATGGACACTTCGCAGGCATGCACACAACTCAAACAAATTCCAGCCATTGCAACCTGACTTGATATCTGAATGGGAGCCTGATAGCGCAGACAGCGGGCAATCTATTGCACTACGAAGTCCCACCTCAGTAGGACGCATCAATAGCAATAAAACAACTCGTATTTATATAGCACTCTTCACACTGGGTAGTGTCCCGAAGCGCTTATAGCACGTGAAGGACCCGGAGAAGATCTCTATTGGGGACAGTATCAGACACCAAGCAAGGGAAGTGGGAGATGACCGTAGGTGGGTCAAAGAGATCTCACCCACTCTTTATAATATTTGTGCTTAATTCTTCCCTATAGATTTCTAGAGAGGAATTAAATAAATAGAGAGGGATTAGACTGAGTTGGAGGGGCAGAGGGAGGAACTCCCCCTGGAGACTGATCTCCAGATATAGGCCTTTTGACCTTTTATTTAGTACCTTCTGCTGATCTACTGAGCCACTTCACAACCCAGCTACTTGCTTTGCCACTGACTCCATGAGCCTATTTTAGCCTTATAATTTACTGATGGCAATTATATCTGCAGATTAGCTCTCATGCAATAATTTATTATATGTTCAAACAATACTAATAGAATTATGAGGCATTACCTATTTCTTTTAAACCAAGCTCTCTCTTATGTCCTCCGTATTCCTCAGATAATACCGATAACACTGATAATATCCAGCAGAACACTCTCGAGTTGAGTTGGCAGAGCAAGGATATTTTGACTAACAATTCAGATTTTGTTTTTTTGTGTCGCACAAATCTTGTGACTGCAACTCGTGTCTTGCTCTGCAGTAAACAGGAGTAATCTTCTTGTAGCACAGCACAAAATTAAATTCTCTTCAATTTTAATAGTTGCATAACATGTAACGAACTGTAATTTTTCACTGGGTTTGTTGAAAAATCTTGAAATTTCAGAAGCTCAACAGGGTCGTACACAAAAACTTGTTTAGGCAGTTTTCTGCTCACACACATCAAAGAAAGAACACTTCAGAATTTTTAGTGTTTTCATATGTCATTCGTAATCACTGTCATGTGTTGCGACTGTTTTTGTAGGCAAATGTATCAGGTTTTGCAACACAGCAATGCATCATAAATAAGCAAGATGTGCAATGCATTACAACAGATGTCAAGGGTGGAATTTCACAACCGTGAGCAGTTGTCAAAGAACAGCTAAGACAAAGTGGTGAAAGATGTGAGGTGAAACTTCCACCTCAATTGAAATGCATAGTGATGTTGAAAGGGCGATGGATAGAAACCCAGTTTGATTCAGTCTGACGGTGTTTGTACAATGGGATGTCTGTTGAGTGGGGTGTCTGAGGTAATGGTTTAATAAGGTAAAGCGTGTATCCTAAAAATGTTAGTGAGGTTTCGAATGTGTGACTGGAGGGTCGGGGCAGACAAAAGCAGCAGCTGGTGAAGTACTATCTATTATTTACAAATTCATCTGTAACTAACTGTTTGTGCGTTTGCATTTCTTTTCTTGCGGTCTTTCTTAATTCAATTGAAGTAAAGGAAAATTTCATCAAAATCAAACAGTGGTCTTCCTTCAGTATCCATTTCTGAAGAGAATTCATTAATGACTGTAAACTCAGTCCAGTGTTGCATTAGGTTGTACTGATACGAAAAGAGATCCAGAGCCCCTGATTTACGAGGTAAGTAGCCAAATTATCTTGTTGATATGGACGCTTGATTTAGTGGCGTGCAAGATCAGAAAGTTAGAAACATTTCCAAATATTGTCACCCAGTGTTCCCAGGTCACTATTTATTTAGATGATTATTTTACCTCAGTCTCCAATCGCAGCACCTTAAATTACATTTGAAATCCAAGTGCATAAAATTCATTCATTTCAACAACCACAAATTTACATTTATATGGGGTCTTTCATGTTGGAGGATATTGCAAGGCGCTAGGACAAATTTCCTTTGTCCACAGTGACATTAATGTCTTTGAGCTCCAGCAGTTTGGATATACGAAGCATTGTTTAAATTTACTTTTCTTTATCGAGGTGCCGATTTCCTAGTGTTCCCTCACTACAAAACTTAAAAAGTCATTTTGAAGATTTTCCCTACAACTGATGTGTTCCTAACTACACTATATCTAATTATAGTTTCCAGATATGAATCAATTGTTTTTGGCAGACATTAAGTTTCTTCAAACTCGTAAGTTTAAAAAAAATCACTGCAGAGAAGACTTCCCTCTCACTTGTGAGAAAAAGTACTGAGGCCATGTGTTACAGTAGAAGTACTAGAAAAAGAGAGGTTTGGCTGACAGGCTCTAAACAAGGCACGTGCCTCCCTACACTTTGGCCTTGTTCAATGGACGCCCAAAATTAATCATGAAATTAATTTCAAGACTGGACTTAAAATTTGAGATTGTGCATAATTTTGGAAATACTCGGTCACTACAGTTTATAATAAAATCCCGTTAAGTTCTTTGAGATGTCCTCCCAATGTGAAAAGCACAATATCAAATGTAAAGATTATTTATTATTTTTATTAATATTCTTAAATTTAGCTACAAAAACAACGGCACTTCTGACGCATTTTGAGATGTCTGATGTTGGTTTGATATAATTTATATCACAAGCAAAGATAATTTTTAGTAATAACAATATTATTAATAAATGGTGAGCTGTATGTTTGTTGAATACTCCTCCTAATGTCATGTGCTTTTCCCATTCTCTCAGTTTAAAGACTCACTCCCCACCCCATTTTAGATTTCACTGGAATTGCAAATTGAGAGTGGGTCAGATCATCTTTTCTCAGACTGTGACCAATGCCACTTCAGGTGGACACCAGAAAATATCAGAGTGACCAGAATTGTCTTTTCTCAGATTTTCTATCCTACCCTCAGGTCCTCAAGACTGGATGCCTGAGAATGCAAAGTGGCGTAAGATTGAAATACATGGATGTAACTCATATGTTAGAAAGATAGCTGCAGAGAAGAGACTTCTGCAGAGTAGTATCACAAAGGAGCCATAACACAAGAGTTCTTAAGACAGACACAACCTTCAATATAAATGGGGAGGGTGCTTAGGAGGCAAATCTGCAGCTGCATAATGCCAGAACATTTGACTTTGGCTTTCCATGTGCTGCAAGATCACACAAGCTCCTGCAGCTTTGGATGCAACAAAAGCTTTTAGAATTATTTAACTTTTTGGGCAGGTTAACAAAGATTTTGCCAGAGACAATCTTATAAATATAGCAACATCTGCTGAAATAGTTATTAAAAGGAATTCAAAACCCTTCTTGCTTCTGCTTAAGATCATTATTATATTTATTTATTGGGCCGGTTTCCCTCATTATTGAATTTAATAGAAGTGCATTTAAAATGAAGCAAAGCGTCATGGCCGTTTTAGAATAAATGTAGTTATTTAAATGTAGCGCCTTTCATGTTGGGAGGACAGCTCAAAGAGCTTCACAAGATAAGTAAAGTGTGGTGACTATGCATTTTGTACCAAAAATATAACATAAAAAAGGTTACCTGAAACACTGGAGTCATGCTCTCAGAATAATCCGGTGATTTGCTCGGTGTCTGAATCCAGGTCAATATCATAGAAGCAAGGCCTTGTGGGCAATCCTGGCATTGTACTCATCTGAAAGTTTCCAAAGAGAAAGACATTAAAGTTTCCCTTTGCCATAAAAAGAGATAAGTATTAAATATACCCCAATCTCATTGTGGCAATCAGGATATATTTCTTTCTATTACGGGCCTAGAGACATTCTCACGGAGGCAAACAGATGTTATTTTACTCCAGTGCAACATTAAATGCGTCATGTAGTTCAAGATCATCTCATCTGGGATTGTTTTGTAGGGTTTCTCAAAAAAATGCCCACTGCCAGAGACCACTGCTGCTATTTATACCAGTTGTTAGACTTGATCTCCCTCTCCCCACCCCCTCTTTTGTAAACCCTGCTTTCAAAACACACACAAACCCCTCCAAAATACTAAATGTGGTTCCTCCTGCATCTCATAATTCCTTTTATTTAGACATTCAGTCATTCTTGACAACCAAAATACACCTGATCTCCCAGGCCTCACAAGCAGCAAAAGTCATGCACTCCTCAAAATGTACAATTATTCAGCAAGCCATGGCAATGACATGATTTCAAACACGGCAACTTCAAACTAAACTTCAAAAATAAACAACAAGCAACGACAAAAAAGAATCTGCAGCCACCACAGTATAAATCTGGTTGAAACAGTAGATTACTGGGAGGGAAAGGGTCTTGAAGAACTTGTTTGTAAGATCAGTTTCAAGTGTTATAGTAAAACTAATCCTTGCATTTGATATCACGTCTTTGAGACATCTCAAAGCGCTTCACAGAATATACTATAAAGTGAATTGACTGTATATTTTGTGGGCGAAATGTGTTAACCCCACATTATACACCATTCCTGACTCATGGGTTTTTGTGCAGTATTTCATGCTGAACTTCAAGTTAAGTCCATTTAGTGATCTGAAGAGAATTAACTAGAAGAACGTCAAGTTATATTTTGCTTTACACAGTGAAGATACGGTTCAAGATCCTGGTCCTCACCTTCAAAGCCCTCCACTGTCTTGATCCCCCCTACCTTTGCGACCTCCTAATCCCCTACCATCCTGTTTGATCTCTCTGCTCAGCGGGCTCCGGCCAGCTGCACATCCCCTGCCTCACTTATTTTAATTTAATATAATATGATAATAATAGCCCCACTATTGGCGGGCAAGCCTTCCGACACTCTGCCCCCACCCTCTGGAACTCCATCCCGCAGTCCCTCCATCTCGCACCCTCCCTCACCACCTTCAAGACCCATCTCAAGACCCTCCTCTTCGACTGTGCTTTTGATCTCCCTGCTTTCCCCCCCTGCCCTCCACCCTTCCTGATCCCGACCCCCAGCTCGGGTCTGTAATTCTGTCTATCCAGCACCTTGGGACATCCTCCCGACGTGAAAGGTGCTTTACAAATGTAATTTTGTTGTTGTTGAAACTCTTCAAAGTTTAGTGAAGGTAGTGACCGTTTTATTTGCAAACACTCGTGAGTTAATTTGTGTAGAGCAAGGCAACACAAACAGCTATAAGGTGATTGACAACAACAACAATTCACATTTACGTGTGTGGGGGGGGGGGGGGGGCGGGGGGAAGATGGTCAAAAGAATGTGGTCAAAACGATAGGTCTTAAGGTGGGCTTTCAAATTGGGAGGGATGGGGCAAGGCTGAGGAACTCCGTCCGGGATGGAGTTCCATGAAGCCGAGGTACAAAGGCTGAAAGCTCACCCACTAATATTGGGCAGACAGGCAGGGCAACATGAAGCAAGCCAGGTGTTTGCTGTGCTATTAATAACCAATTCATGTGGGGCATCGTTGGCCATGCCCCAAGCAAAAGCTTCCTCCTCTTTTTGACGAAAAGTGCCATTGAATTTTCCTGTTTGCCTGCCTGACACAATTTTGGGTTCAGACACGTTGAATACCAGAAGACATTGTGAAACAGTACATCATGTACAATGAAACCAACCTATTGAGGTACAAACAAGTTAGCTACTTAGGAAACAAACTAAAAGAACAAGCTAAAAGTCAGGGTGGAGTCCTGTAGCTCAGTGGTTAGAGCACTCGCCTTGCAAGCGAGACACCTGGGTTCAATTCCAGGCAGAGGGCGAAACCTTGGGCAAGTTTCCTTACTCCACACAGAGCCTAATAATAATCCCTCCAAAACAAAACAATAATAAATTGGTCATTTTCAATCCACAACTGTTTGTGGGACACTGCTGTGAGCAATTGGCTGCTGCGTTTCGCCCACAAATATACAGTCCATTCACTTTACAGTCTATTCTGTGCAGCGCTTTGAGTCGTCGAGAAGATGTGAAAAGCGCTATATCAAATGCAAGGATTATTCTTATTATATAAATGAAACAAAGCGCTACTGCTTGGGTTAAGGTCATTGCTTTAAGCATGAAAAGAAAGAAGCAAGACATGAAACACCCATGTTCAAAAGTAGCTTTCTATACAAAATTATCTTTGTATTTGACATAATCTTTGCAGAACGACCAGAATAGATACTGGACTACTACTGATGACACTTAAAGCATGTTGTCAGAGATATGACTGACAGCTGCTGAAAATAGGAATAGTAAAAGTCGTGTAGACGACATACTGTGGTAAAATCAGTGCTAAGACATCATCGCATGATGTTCATCGTATCGAACAAAGCAGATTCATTTAGAAACTGATTTTCTGGAAAAGTTAAAAAGCACTGCAGAAAAATGGCCTCCAAATTTAGTAATTTTCCAGAATTTTGTACGCTCATAAATGTTAAGATAATGGGAATTTTCATCCCAAGCTTGAAATACCAGTTGGCATGGGCCACCTTAAAAATCTAGGATACTATGTTTTTGCTTCTACTGAGCTCTGTTTGGTCTCCGGTTTCCTCAATTGTATTTTTGTGATACAGGTTTCAGATAGTGAAGAATTGACCTGCGATCTCCTAAGCCCCTACCATCCTGTGAAGAATTACCTTTCTTGATTTTATTAACATAAATTCCATTTTAAAATGCCACATTTGGTCTTGAAAGCCTAGTTGTGTTTGCACAGTTCTAGGTGCAACTCAGCAGAGAGAAACAACAAATGACAATTCAGAAACTGCACCTAACAGCATCTCTTTAAATTGTACTTTGTTTTAAACAAGGGAATATATGATTTGTTGTTTTTCTATTTTCATATTAACCATTTTCTGCTAGAAAGCATGAATGAAATGGAAACATTACAGACTTTGGTGGTTAATTGTTACCCTTCTGGTGTTGAACAGATTGTAAGAATGGTACCATCTGAAAAGCTCCGACATAGATACTTACTGCGTCGCTAGATCTACTTTATATAACAGGTGGAATTTTTTTTTATTCTTGATAGTCGAATTTAAAAGGTTCTGACTTGCTGTAAAATCCAGTGTTCATGTGTCCTTTTCCATTTCCCAGTATTTCATTGTAGCACTAAACATGTCTGGCTTCCAACCAGTGTGTCAGAAAAAAGATCTACACTACTAGCAACACTTGGCAGAACAAGCTTTGGAGAGTACTTGAGGATCACTCTAATCTTGCAACCAGCCAAGCCTGGTAAGGTTTTACATCATGATGTTTATAATCCTGTACTTTTATCAGATAATAAATAATCCTTGCAATTGATAGAGTAATATTGTTGAAAAGTGTTTCAACAGCTAACCGCTATCTGGTGTAGCGACTACATTTTTAGGCAACTGGGCACAAATAACTACGAAATTCGCTGGCAGTTTGTTGGCCAGGACACTAGGGTAAAATCTCCCTTCTCTTTTTGAACAGAGTTATGGGATCGTTAATGTTCACTCAAAAAACAGGCAGTCAGGACCTTGGTTTAATGTCTAATTTGAAGGACTATACCTGACAATGCAGCGCTCGCCTGTACTGCACTGGAGGGTCAGCCTGCACTTTGACCTCAAGTCCTGAAATGGAGCTGAAACACACAATCTTCTGAACCAGCGGCAAGACCTGCCAACTGAGTGAAACTGACACTCATAAGAACTGACATCCACAAGATAAAGAGCGCACAGAAGGTAGTTGATTACAGAGTTATCTTTTGCAACTTTCTTGTTAACCCTTTCACAGATAAACTATTGCCACTTTCAACGATCAAATCTTTCAAAGACCGACCATGCTTTTTTTTTCAAACGTTTTCGTAGCTTTCAACCAGCAAACTCTTTCTGGACATTTCACATTAAATTCAGCTTGATCAAAAATCAGGACAAGCTCACCACTGTTGAAGTATTTAATGCAATCTGACTGCGTTATGATGTGGTAGTTGGGGTGGGGGGAGAGGAAATTTATTAAAATTTGGACCAAAGAACTTGATTGTAGCAAAGACATTAGTAAAGCTAAAAAGTGTGTTTTGGCAGTCCCAAATACACCTTACATAACTAGAATTAATTTGCGCCAAAAAACTCAAGTATCAACAGTCGGTCAAAACACCATGATGTGGTTGCCAAAGGGCTAAGTGTGCTGATCTGAAGAAAGAAATTCAATTACTGGCATTTTCGATCATCAAACATCTCAACGTTCTGAAATAACTAACAAAATGTCTGAAATAACTAACAAAATATAATCTCTCATCAAGATTAAAGTTTCTATTCATAAAACTTGAGTATTCACAAACATCCGGCACTTTGCAACAATTCTGGAGGCAAAATTGAGAGAAACCCAAATGAGGGGGAAATTGCTATAAACTTTAAACATGATGTCCATCTTGAGACTTGAAATCACTTCCAAATTATTATCGCTAATCTATTTTAGGTTTGTCAAGAACCAAATTATTATTCATATTTATAAAAAAAACTAGTTTTTAAGCTTTTTTGTCAAATGTTTAAATTGTTTTAAGATAGATTTGCTGTGGAAGCAGCTTTTATATATTTCCGGTTTCAAACTACTATTACAAGGAGAGAAGAAAGAAATCCATGCACAACAAAGCACAGACAGAGCTGTACTAACCTGTGGCAAATGGATTTGAAGCCCTGGAACTGCAACTTGCACCTTAATATTGTTTTTGTTTTCAGTTTTTCACCAGATGACCAAAGAACCGTCAAAAGAACATTTTTG